GCTTCCCTACGACTTTAAATATTAAAATACATTGGAGGGATGCTGTGTAGAACTCATAATTAGAAGTCTGATTTAAGATGACACTTGTTTGCAAGCGGGCCCTCCATGTGGTGAAATGCAGAGAAATGGAACAAAGATGGAAAAGTTTAGGACTTTAGCCCATGAACAGTTTTGCTGAGAATGTGCCGATGCTACGATGTTCTGATAAAGTAACCTGGTCTAAAATCTGCTCTTTCTTTCAGAGAAGGTGTAGTCAGCGTGTCGCTGCCGCTGCTAAATCTAAACTTATCAAGGGTTGCTGAAGTTGGGCCGTTGAAAGTGGTGCTGGAGGAATGGCTCCTGAGGCCCCTGCTGGCCCTGGCCTCCATCAGACCTTCTGCTGAGCTTTATCGCTTGAAGAGGAAAATCATGGACGGCCCATTCAGACGTAAGCTAGTTATGTGTCAACATGTTCATGTCAGGCACAGCTTTCAGGTAGGTTTGTAATCGTCCAGATGTGTTGTGTTCCTTTTGAAGGAAAAGTCTAAGATCTTTATTTATACCTAAAACTAATCCATTCGCTGTGATTTAATGAATTCAGCGTTTAGCAGTAAAAACATAAAAACAATATTTTGCATCGCGATCAGTGAGTCTGAGATCGGCCACCGGGATTAAAGTATTCCAGCCCCAGGCTGGATTTCCGGCTCGTAGTGATCGCCTGTGGGTAAAAAAAATCCCTCGATAATAAATTGACCCTTAATAAATAAAAAAAGGACAATAGAAATCCGTCTTGCGTTTCTCAGCCAATGGTAGCAAAGGAGCGCTCTGAAACTAACAGTATTAGCCAATGTGACACCCACTAAATGTGTGTTTACATTTATATAGCTTTATTATGTATGATTCCCTTTAGATGTGAGTTCTCATAGACCCTAATTTTAAGGTTGTCAGTTTTAAGGCGTTGTTACCTATTCCCACCAGCAGGGGGGGGCAGCCTCCCAAGGCGACGCGTTTTGTCTTGTGGCTTTCTGAACGGTTCTCAGTCTGCTGAGAGAACGTAGAGGATACTTTAACTGCTGCACTCCACCCCACGCCTGGGGGGGTGTAACACCAATCATATGAAGAAGGGGGCGGGTCTTAGGAAAGCAT